GCCTGTGTCTGTCTGTCTGTCTGTCTGTCTGTCTCTGTCTGTTTGTGTCTGTCTGTCTGCCTGCCTGCCTCTCTATCTGTCTGTCTCTGTCTGCCTGTGTCTGTCTGTCTGTCTCTGTCTGTCTGTCTCTGTCTGTCTGCCTGTCTGTCAATTAAATTCGATTCAATATGAGCATTATTGTCATGACAATTGTTACAATGTATTGCCAAAGCATAGTGTTTACATTGAATCTAAAACAGATATAATTAAAATGGAACAAATCAACATTTATTATTCAATTTAAAATTCAGTTGTGTGTGTGTGTGTGTGTGTGTGTGTGTGTGTGTAGGCGCATCACTGATTTGTTGACTCCTCCCTCTGTCTGCCTTTGTCTGTCTGTATGTCTCTGTCTGTCTGTCTGCAACTATAGCAACTATCACCCTACCATATGGAACACCCTAGCAACTTAAAAATGTGTGATTGCACAGTAATCATGCACAAGCTTTATAGTTTATTTCATGCTGTAGTTGTGTTGTTGGTTTTGAGGGGTAAATCGGTCTCCAGAAAATCCCCTTATGAAGAAAAAACACTTCAAAGAAATCCTGCGGGCTCTGCATGAGTGCTGCAGCTTGTCCGTGACTCTTCACTATTTCACCAAATTGCAAATATTTACTCATGATGTGCGGGAGGTCACTGTTTACAGGCCGACAGATGGAGGAGCGGCGAAGACAACATCCATAAAGGGTAGAATAAGTCCAGTAGAGTGTGTTTCTCTGCTCGAGTCTCAGTTTCCTGATATTAGACACATTCTCACCTCAGTGAATAATGTCACATATCACAATGCTGCTAATTATGAGAGAGCTTACTAAACAGGTTGTTTTGCATATGCGAGTTGTGTTTACGTGCTGCTGTTGCCAATAATGAGTAGTGAAGATGTGTTTGTGTGTGTGTGTGTGTGTGTGGTCCTTTGTACTAGATAATTATTCAGATTGCTCCCTGAACTGTGATTAAATGATGGGTGAGCTTTATCAGTTATGTTGCTCACTCTAAGAATGGACTGATCTATTTATAATTTTGTTCAGTGTATATTTATTGGCACCAAAATGACACTATGGACACTGAAGCCACACTATAAATGTAAACTATCGGTTAGAAAAATAAGATTTTTGAATACTTTTTAGTCTCTTATACTCACTCTTATGTAAAACATTATTGTTTCAAAATATTATTAAAATTTAAAATAACTGTTGTCTATTTGAATATAATTAAAAATGTAATTTATTCCTGGCATCATTACTCCAGTCTTCAGTGTCACATGATCCTTCAGAAATTATTCTAATATGCTGATTTGATACAACATTATCAATTTTGAAAACAGTTGGGCTGCTTCATATTTTTGTGGAAACCTTGATACTTTTTTTCTCTCAATTTTCTGATGATGATTTTCTGACGCTGATTCATGTAGCACTGAAGACTGGAATAATGATGCTGAAAATTCAGCTTTACAATAACAGGAATAAATTAAATATTAAATATGTATTCAAATTGAATAGAGTTCTTTAAAATTTGAATAATATTTTTGTAAAATTGTTATAAACAACATCCAAGCAAAACATTCCGCAAAATATTGTTTTAATTAATTAATGAATTTAAAAAAACAAAAAAAAACAAACATGTTTTGTGCAAAATAAAGTCAAAATGTCATGTGACACATTGGGGTTGTTAAACAGTAGAAGATCAGGCTGATAGTTAATGTGATGTGATTCTCTGGACCTGTGGTTACTCTGCTGGACACCATTGTGAACTTGAGGAGAACTGACTTCAATCAGCCACTAAAAATCACCAGCTGATTAAAAGTCATATGTATTGCTGTTGCCACTTGCTTTGATATTTAATTCAGAGGCATTCATACATGTTACATGTGGATTAAGTGTCCAAATACTGTTTCTAAAGCATTTTGATAAACTAAAATCACGTTAATGTCTAAAACGTCCACTTGAGCTTGATCCAGCAATTCCCCCTCAAACCGGATATCTCCCTTGTTGTTTGGCCAGGCTTCCCCATGACTC